ACAGCCTCCATGGACGTCCAGTGATGTGTGTAAGACACAAAAGACTAGGCTGCATATTAAGTACCAATGAAACTGATTTAGTACTCTTGCCTATGCATGGAAATATAGTCAGTTAATGGTTAGCATTATTATTTTTATTTATTTATTTATTATTTAGATGCTGGAGAAGGGTTAATGGAATTCAACAGGGGTTGGGCTTAGTCTACTTGTGGAAACACAGAGATTCTGGACTGATTCCTCTTTTGACTCTGCCTCTGGTCTCTGCCACTCCTTTTCTTGACTACACTGTGAAATTTAGTGTGAGAATATAAAACTCTTAATGGGATCCTGTTCTGTGGAGGTCATCAAAATTTTGTAAGAGTTTTTTTCTCCACTTCTGGGAAAGAAAATATCTTCCTGACAATCAAGTGGTTTTGTGACACTTTCTCAGTTTAGTTATGAATCCCCTAGGAAAACAATGGAGAAATTTAACTCTCTCCCACTACAGAAACCTTGTCTCAAAGCTTCTCCAGAGCGGTGATTTGTGTCTTCTGTTAAAGTCCCCCTCTTTTCTTTGCAAAGGAGGGAAGGAAAGACTGTGGACCAACTTTGGGAAGTTAATTTTGGCTTATCTAGGAATGGTGGGGGTGGGTTGCACAGAGAGAGTGAGTGAGTGAGTATCAATGCTCGCCTTTTGGAGACCCAATTAATGAGGTTCCAAACAAAGAAAAGTAGGTCAGTGTCCATTTGGTTTGCTTTAGCTGAATAGGGCATAATGGATTGTGTTGATTTAAGAAGTGATTCTTTGCTTCCAATTAGAGCAAGTGGTGGGATTCAGACCGGAGTCAGTGAGTTTTTTTATCTCTTCTTCTTGCCCCTTGAATCAGTAGGGCAGGGTGGTGGTGGTGAATGAGAAATATAATAAATTATAAGTCATGCACCTTTGTGAAATATTGTTGGGTGGCTCACAAAACCTAAATGGAAACATGCGTGTAAAATTGATGGCTTCTTTCTTGTAGAGTTGTAATTGCAGGAGTGTTCCAATCTCGGATGGCAAACCTCAGATAAAGAATGTTTCCAACAGTAACCAAAGTTAAGCAGTAACCAAAGTTAACCAATGTTGGAGGATTACTAAAAATGTGTATAAATACAAGACTAGACTCCAATAAAGTTCATCATGATTCAGTTGATCATGATCAAGCAACTCGACTGCCTCGTCATTACAACACTTTCTGTGCCGTCAAGTCAGTGGAAATGCTTAATAGCCCCACACAGAGAGGTTTCCTCCAGGATGGTCTGTCCCTAGTGGTGGTATTCTACCGGTTCAGCCCGGTTCAAGCGAACCAGTAGTAAAAAAAAATGCTACTGGTTCATCCGAACTGGTATTTCCAACAATCAGCTGTGATTTAGATTAGCTAAAAATCAGGAAATCATCGGATTTCTTGCTTTCTAGCTAATCTAAATCACATGGCACAGCGGATTTCCCCCTGCTCACTGTTGTTCTTACTTCGCCAGGAGGCTTCCCTGAGGCCCAGGAGGCAAAAAAACAGGGCACAGAGGCATGCTGTGAAACGGGGAAAAACACCACATAACTACACCCACCTAGTCACATGACCCACCTGGCCACACCCACCTAGCTACACCCACAGAACCAGTAGTAAAAAAAAATTGAATCCCACCAATTTGGATGCAACCATCTCATGTTCTTCTTGGTGGACATCAGGTCCCTTGTGGGTCAGCCTATTCTCCAAAGCCCCTGAAGGCAGGACAAGAAACAAGGAATGGAAACTAATCAAGGAGAGAAGCAACCTGGAATTAAGGAGAAATTAGATCGATCAATCAGTGGAAGCAGAGGTGGGATTCAGCAGGTTCTGACCAATTCTGGAGAACTGGTAATGGAAATTTTGAGTAGTTCGGAGAACCGGCCAATCCCACCTCTGACTGGCCCTCCCACCCCATCTCTTCTCTGCCTCCCGTTGAGTCCCAGCTGATCGGCTGGGTCTTCTTTGGTTGCTCTGCACAGGAGAACGGAGCTGGAAAGCAGGTTAGTGGGGGTGGGGAGGTAATGGGGATTTTGCAGTATCCTTCCCCTGCCACACCCACCAAGCCACGCTGGCTTACCCCAAGCCACACCCATCAAGCCAAGCCACGCCCACAGAACCGGTAGTAAAAAAAATTGAATCCCAACACTGAGTAGAATGGCTCACCTTCAGAAATTGTGAAGCTGTGAACGCTCCCTGGAGGTTTTTGGGAAGAGACTGTCTGAAATAGCCTAGGGTCTCCTGCTTGAACAGGGGGTTGGACTACATGACCTCCAAGGTCCCTTCCAACTCTGTTATTCTCTTAAATAGCTTGCCTGGTCTCAGCCCTGGCATGGCTTCATTTGTTATTGCTTTTGTTCAGTAACAGATATAACAGGAAGATGAATGACAATAAAATAAATCAAGGTTGGGTGGAAGAGGCAAAATCATTTTTTAAAAAATATAAATCATCCTTTGTAACCAGGGCTACACAAAAACATTGTGCTGCCTACAGCAGATGTGATGGGGGTGGTTGACATCCCCACCTACAGTTGGAGGGGCACTCAACTACTCTGTTCATATCTGAGACTCCAAGCAAGTCATGTTTGAGGCTATTAAGCTGGTACGTGATTTCAATGGGGATAGAGTTGCCATAATGTTTGCATTAATGTAATCATGAACCTCACTGAACATGGGATACTTTTGGAGTAGACATGTAAAGTATTTAGTTTTGGGGTGAAAAAATTCCAGATAACCTGAAACAGAACCATCAAATCCGATATTATGGAGTCCAACTCTTGTCCTACTACAGGAATACAGACGAAAGTTAGGAAGGAGAAGGCTATCTGATCTTCACATCACAAGGTCTAGTGAAAAAGAAATGCTTATGTCTAGATCCACTGTCAAATTGTTCTTAAACGGTAAAAGACTTCTTTTGAAATAACACACCAGTCTCAAAGTTCCACCGTATCCTTCACAATTGTACAGTTTCTGACCTGACGGTTGTATTTTTGTTTTGTCCCCATTTCTTGTGTGAATCCTCCTTTGGCTTCACACTTTCCCTTCACTTTTTGGTCCTTACCCCTGGCTTGGTTTTCTGCCTTCCATATGTTTCTCCATACCAGAATTGTTCACAGCTGGGCTTGTAACATCGTCTTCATTAGAAACTGCCGCAAGAAACACTTATGATTTGGGTTCACTCGGCCGATTTAACCTTGGCAATCTTTTTATCCATACCTGGATTTGGGTTGGCTTGTCACCATTTTCCCACTGTGTTTGTGTGCCAATGCAGCCAGCCTTTCACTCCCATTTAAATATGGAAACATGACCATTTGTAATCCCCATTAGAAAAAAAAGTATTCTAATTTTAGCACAGATAAAAGGTGTCATCCTTTTTTCTTCCAAGATCCTTTTTTTCTTGCAATTTGCAGTTCTCTGTGCCTTTAAAAAAGGAATTGGAATTCTCTGTGTCCATTTGATGATTCACTTCCTAGCTTCAATTGAAAAAATAAAACATGTCTTTTATATTTTATCTCACCCTATTTTTGTAATGATAGTCAATCTGCAACCTGCTTGTTTGCTTCCTTTCCATGGCCCTAAGGGTTCAGCTGTGCATTTTATGCCGGCAAAATAGCAATAGGAGACCCATAAGAAAACCTGGAGTTGCTCTAGCTTTGCCTCAAAACTTCAACTTCTTTCAGGGCGATTCAAGAAAGTGCTAGCAAAGCCCTTTATTAAATGTGCTTTGCTTCTTGGATTGGAGGAACTTTTGCCCTTTTTACCTATGGAGGTTCTCCGTTACCCAGGTCGCAGTTGTCCCAAAGGTGCTTTTTCAAGAGGCACCTGGACTTCCTTGTTTTTCCTTGAAGGTGTCTCACCTCTCATCCAAGAAGCTTCTTCAGCTCTGGGGAATGACTGCCTGCAAGGAACATAAATCCTTCTTGCATGAGAAGCAAATTGTCTTCAAGGAAAAAAAAAACACAGAAAGTCCAGTTGTCTCTTGAAAAAAAAGCGCCCTGAGGACACAGAGGAACCTCCAAGTGGCCTCAAGGACTCTCTAACAGGGTGCAAATGACCAGCTCTGTCTGCAAGGAGTGCAAATCCTTCCATTCCCCACCAACCAGTCAGAGCTGAAGAAGCTCCTTGGAGGAGAAGCGAAACGTCTTCAAAGAAAAAAACAGAAAGTCCAGTTGGAAACTCTTGGAGAAAGCAACTTTGGGTTTCGTCCCTTTTTTCCCATTTTCTTTCCCCGCTTTTTAGGACAGATATCTAAGTTGACAATGCAAGCCACGTTGTTTCTTTCCTTGGATGCAACTGGTGCTTTAATTCTTCTGTCCTTTCATTTCTGGGATGTTTGGAGACAGGGATTTCGTGGAGGCAATGCCCTCTGCCAAGAGACAGGAGGGGCGTCCCTTGTGTTCCAGTGAGAAGAGGAAACTTCTGGTGTTGATCCAAAGCCCGCAAATTAAAACCATTAACGACAAAGATGCAAATGCATCCGATGATTAATCTGATCTCTGACAAGCTCCGAAGGGCTGTTCTTTTCAGCGGGAGCTGAGCCGTAAAGCAGGAGCTTGCGAGCGCCTGACCTGTCATTGAAGTCTGGCGCTTCGGTCTGCTCGCTCATGCCTCTTCCTTTAAGCAGCCTTGCTTTTTTCCAAACAAATACTGCAGTCTGGAAATCCGGGATGGATGCCCTCCTAGCAGCGGAGAAATAAGAAGGCTTGGTGGTGTCGGATGCCTGTTTTTTTTCTTCTGGTGACGAGGTCACAATTAGCATCCCAAAGCATCAGGATGCAGGAGACCAGGGGTTTCAGTTAGCACCTGCCTGGTCACCTTATTTCCTTTCTGGCTGTGCTGGCAACTTTTTTTTTTTTTTGCATGGGAGGCAAAACAAAAAAACCCAAAACAACCCCACCCCCGGTTAGAGTGACTTAAACTTTCCTTTATAGACTGTGTGGTGGCTTGGCAGCTGATTGGCATGAAACACCATCTGGGACAATGTTGACTTTGGAATGGGAATCGGAGGGTCTGCAAACAGTGGGCATTGTTGTGATAATCTTTGCATCCCTGAAGCTGCTGCACTTGCTTGGACTGATAGACTTCTCCGAAGGTAAAGTGGTGGCTTTGAATTGTTCTCTTTGTAGGTAGTGCCAGCTGCTTCTGCCGCTACTGCTTCTTCTTGCTCTCCGTCAGTCCCTTTGGCGTTGGAGGATCAGGCATGCTGCTCATAAACTGGTGCCAAGAAGCTTCTGCAATTTCTGGCTGTAAATCATGTTTTGTTTGTGTTTCTATTTCTACGGTTCAGTCCCTGCAGCTTCCTGATGCTGCTACGTTTTTCAGGGATGGAGGCAGAAAGGCATCTCTAAACCACACCGCGGGAGTAAGAAAGTTAGCATCCAAACAGGCTTTTTTCCTTGCATACAGATTCGTGGCTACGTCGAATTGGAACTTTTCTGATTCCGTTATTAATACGGGTTGCTTTTCCACACGAACAGATTTCTGGAAAACTAGTTGGGGTGTGTTCTGTTTATTTGTCATCTCAGAACCGGAGAAGGTTGACTGGCTAAGGTGTCAGTCAATACTCCAAGCCACCCTGGGTATTGGTTGTAATGTGTGTCCTTGGGAACAAATGATAAAATGTTTTTAATATATTCGTATTGCCTTGCAGCCTGTTCCGTTTATTTCTCTGTAAAGGAGCACCAGGTGTATAAACAAAACTTCCTGTAGGGTTCAGTAGATGAACTTATGAGCATCTTATTTTCTTGGGGTTTCTTCGTTAAACCTGCTTCTAAAAATTAAAACTGTAACCCTCTCATTTCATTCTCTAGATTGCAAGCAAACTGAAATTATTCAGATTGCTCACATAGTGTTTCTCCCCAGCCAATTTCCTTAAAAATGGCACACCCTCAGAGTCTCCCACAATTCTTCTTCTTCTTTTCCTCTCTTTTTATCTTGTTCAACTGTATAATGTCTTCAGAAAGTGAAATCAGCAACTATTAGCTTCTTAAGAATTGCTAAATAATTCTGCCCTGACATTAAAAGAAATGATAGAAGAAAGAGACTCTCCTTAAATCTAGTCTTCGTAGAAAACTTCAGAAATATTTCAATAGCAATTACTTTATCAGCAGTGAACAGCAATAAATAATGTATAACAGGGAAGCGTGAATTGAGTTCAACTCTGAGTATGGGGATGATGCCACAGCCATGTTCGTTTCCTGGCAAAAATTCAGAAGTAGCTTGCCATAACTGTATTTTAGGATGTGTTTTCCAACTTCTGCATTTAGCCTATAGTTTTGAGATTTTCTAGTGATTTCCCATCCAAAAATTAACCAAATCAAATCCCACTTCCTTTTTAAAAAAAAATAAAATCATGCAAGTCCAGCTGGGTGCTATCACTTGTTGCAAGTGGATAAATCTTCATCTCATCACTAAGAATACCTTTGTTTGTGAATTTAGGCTTAAATAATATTAACGATAAGACTATAATAAGTATACAGCCGATGCAAAATAGCAAAACCGTACTGACTTAAAAGGGGAAATTGACTGCATGACGCCACTAAAAAGGATCCAGGATCTGAGATACATCAATAGTCCTTGTGTTTTTGATTAAATCCTTTTGATTCAGTAAAAGAAATAGGCTAGGCTATATACTTCAGCACTGTAAGGGTTGGAACTTTGTTGCACTCCTAAAATAATAAGGTAAGTTAGGGTTAGGGCTGGAAAACAGCCGCTCTGGTCAACACGGTAAGAGTATGCTGGGTTTAAAGTGCAACATGTAGTTTACGTGTGGATGTTTTTGTAGCAGATAGACAGATTTTGTAGCAGGTTGAAAGATAATCCCTCTCATGCAAAAATTAGGGAAGGTACAGGATAGCATAAAATTTGTGTGTGCGTGTGTGTGTGCGTGTGTGTGTGTATGCAGGCGGAGTGCTAAAATTGAGTTTAGTTTGGCATTGAAACCAGGGAAAGAAAAGTAGACTTAGAAGTTGAGCTAAAGAGATGATGATCATGGCATTGAGGTCTTGGGTTTGAGTCCTGTTTCTCACGGTTTGCAAGAGCTGGAAGATGCCTTCTTCAAAGCCTGGGCCTCTGTTTTCAGCTAAATGGTGCGCCGGTCAGAAATCAGGTGTTTTCCCATCCTGAAGCTGAAGGCACAAAATTGTTGTCGGGTTCTGCTGGTTTTCTGCAGTCCTAAGATAATGCTTAGCAAGCATTTGTGCATTTGAACTGAAAAGCTCACCTGGGAGCTCCTACAGTTTCTGACTCTCTGATCCCAACGGCTACGTGGATTGAAAAAATAAAATTGTGCAGAAGAGGACAATTACAAGGAGGTGAACTAATCTTATATTTCTTTTCTAGAAGAGAAGGGGGAGGGAGGCAGAGATGGAGAGAGAGGGGGGAGGGGAAGAGAGAAAGGGAGGGGGAGGGGGAGAGATGGAGGAAGGGTGGGAGGAAGAGAGGGAGGGAGGGAGAGGGAGAGAGAGAGAGATGAAGAGAGGGAGAGAAGGAGAGAGAGATGGAGAGAGAGAGATGGAGGGAGAGGGGGAGAGAATTGGAGATGGGGAGGGAGAGAGGGTGGGTGGGAGAGGGAGGGCAGGA